GTGTGTGTGTGTGTGTGTGTGTGTAAAATGAGTATGTGTTGCTGCTGGTGTAGAGTGTTTTGTTGACAGCGTCATCCGGTCCCGGACGTTGGACCCACGCTGTGCAGATAAACTTGAAGTTGGAGGAGGTAATGGATACTGGACGCTGAAAGTGGGGTGCAGTGAAGAGGGACATTTCTGCTGTTTGATTTATAGGGATAGGGCTTTTCTGAAATCTGTTTTTAATAAACGGTTGCCAACTAATGGGCCAGAGCTGAAATACGAGCCCAGTCAGAGTGGAGGGGCTCAGGTTGCTGTGTGGATTGCTAACAGTGGAGCCTGGTACAGGCAGGAGGCAGGAGGAAGGAGAGAGGGATGTGCTGTAACTCCTCCCGGCGTTTAAACGTTGGACTTTCCTCTGTCTCCTCGCTGTCTGGAACAAATAAGTGTGGAGTTTTAGGCAGTTGGTAGTTATTGTTTGGGTAAACTGCATGTCACATGTGGTCGATATTTTAGTTGGCAGGATTACTTTTTGACAACTTTTTTCCACAGCAGCCATGCACTGTACAGATTGTAGAAAATACAAGAATAAATTGTTTAGACGAGAGTGGCTCCAGTGGCTCACATCTGATACTGCAATTTGGAGTATTTGCTGATACCAATATCAATCTGATGCCTTCTTTTCTCCGCTGGCATTCCCTGGACTGCCATTGCAGAGGCAAGCATATCCCTGTTTACTGCATGTTGTGCAAGTGAAGTTGAGCATTTTGGGCCGTTTCATTTATTCTTTGTCTTGTCACTTATTAAGATGTTTACAGACCTAACTATTAATTCTGAGGTAATAAATGTAGCCTCAGCAGTGGCATATTTTATTGTTTCCACTTTCCGCAGAGTTTAAATCCACTTTGGGACAGGAGTGTCGAGTGATTTTAATGCAGCATACTGACCAAAACACGGGGAGAACAGCAGCTCCTTTCAGCCTCGGTTGTTGGAAATGTAGCATTTCAAAGAGATTGTCGTCGCATCTGTGGATTCAGAGCACGTACTGGTGTGATTGTGTGTGTGTGTGTGTGTGTGTGTCTGTGTGTGGAATGAAAGCAGGGGAGGGAAGCCAGGACAAACATTGAGCTGCCATATATGGAACTCATCTAGAGTAAAGCAACTGCCGAAGCCCTTCTGGGACTAATGGAGTAGGAGAGAAGGGTGGTGGAGGATCTGAGGCAAGGAAAGGGAAGGGGGGGTGGGGTGGGGGGTCTAAGAGCAAGAGAGCATGAAAGAACATGACCTTAGTAACCGTGTGAGACACGAGGAGAAGGCAGAGATGGCAGGAAATACTGATTCTGAGTTTACTCAGGCAAAGCTGAGTCGACAGTCCCTGACCCCCATTCTCTGCATTTGCCATTCAGGTGTAAAACACTGGCATCTGATTGGACACCTGCAGCCCGAGACCTCTTACGACATCAAGATGCAGTGCTTTAATGATGGCGGCGAGAGTGAATACAGCAATGTCATGATCTGTGAGACTAAAGGTGAGGAATCCTGCTGCCTCCAAAGTCCAGGCTCGTGATATTTCCCTCGTCAGTACTGTGCCATTTATCCATCCCTTATTATTTAATCTTCTTCTCTGCTGCAGCACGTCAGTCACCAGGGTCCCCCAGCCAACATCCCATCACCCCACCTGGTCCTCACCCGCAGGAACCCCCCAGTCCTCCTGGAGGTCTGCTCTACATGATTGTGGGCTGTGTTCTAGGAGTGATGGTGCTCATCCTCCTGGCCTTTATCGCCATGTGTCTTTGGAGAAATCGCCAACAGAACAACATGCACAGTGAGTTTTATCTGTCCCTCGAAGCTGAAAGTTGATATTTCTACACATTTATTCACAGTGGAGGCTTTTACAGATATGGATGGTTTAGTTGCTATCTCTCAGTCTCTAGACTTTATCTACAGTATGTTTTTTTCCAGACAAAACATATGGAAATCTTGAGGTTTTTTTTCTCATAAAAACAGCCTCAACTGTTGATTCAATGAGTTTATTTTTCATATTTCACCACAGTACAAGTAAACAACAGCTAAAGAGATTTCAGTTTGTGCAATGAGCAGCAATCTTTTCTAGTGTCTTGAACAGGGAACTCAACTGTGGTTTCGTAATCAGTGGATTGTTGGTTTGAATCCCGGCCCAGCCAGGGACGGCCCTAAAAATACACTCCACGGGCGCATTTTTATTTCACCACACTGAATTTAATCCACAAAATTGATTGGATTCAGAAGAAGAGTACAAGTGAATCACACATTATTTATTGGCATCATGTACACAGTGTGTTATAGTTAGATTTAAAAGAACGATCTGAAGAGTAATGCAGTACATTTAGAGGTTAGAGTTTGGTGGAAATTTGTAGTTGGAGAATCATTTGAAATAACATTTGGTCAAGCCTGTTCAACGTCATTATGTAAACAGTAGGTTTTAACCCAAACCTCAGAGTTACTTCATGTGTATTAAACATATCAGGCATTTTAAAAATATGAAAAAATGCCATTTTAGCCTCACTCCATTTCAAAGCTTAAGCAAACAAAGAGTTAACTCATCCTCAGTTATCTCATATTTGAAGCTTGTTGGCCTCATCACAGCCAGTGTGCAAAATATTCCAAGTGTTCATAGCATAGATTTTATTTCCACCGCAGCTGCAAAACTCTTTGCCATTGTTGGATGACACTTTACCAGACCTTTTGGACCAGAACCTTCTATTATAGTTTTAATATGGGGAGAAAATGTTGACACTGAGTCACACTTTTATTTCCTGGCAACAAATGAGCTCTATTCTGCCATAACGTTATTTTACGACAGTAGATCTTGCGCTAACAGGGCATTTTGTTCTTGAAACCAATTGGAATTATAATGTTCAACTTGATCTGTGCTTTTCCTAATATTATTACAAGAAAATGTTGAACAGACCTAAAATATGACTCAAATATGTATTTGTCTCCGTCTCCTCACCCCTGCCTCCCTCCCTCTGTCTACAGAGTATAACCCCGCTGGCTACCTGCCCCAGCCAGCAGAGATGAACGGCTATGTTCTGGAGTACACCACACTCGCTGGCACAAGCCGCATCAATGGCAATGTCCACAGAGGCTACGGGCACAGTGGGCCTATGTTAACCCAGGGATGCCATCATCTTCACCACAAAGTCCCAAACGGGTTGGCGCTGCTCAACGGCACCGGTGGCCTGTTTTCACCTGCCCACCCACACGGCCACGATGGCACTTTGCCCTATGGCACCAGAGACTGCGAGCACTCACACCCTCACCACCACCACAACGTGAGTGACTCTGCAAATGAGCTTATCTACGGTGTTCGAACGAATCACCAGAGCAGTTAGCAGCACCGAAACACCGTCCCGTTTGCCTGAAGCTGTTGTGTGTGTTTCCTCAGGGTGGAGGCATGTACACAGCTCTCCCCCAGACTGAGTCCTCTGACTGTGTGAGTTGTCAGAACTTCTGTAACAACAACAGGTAAGAGAAGATGGTTTTTTATTTACACCGGCGTTGTGTTTGTTTCACGTTGTTGCCCTGTGGATTTTTTAATATTTATTTAAATACATTTTATATTAAATTAAATGTATTAAATGTTTATACATTTATTAATAAAAATATTTAAATTTAATACATAAATAAAATAATAAATAATTTATTTAATTAATATTAAATAGATAAAATATTAATAAATATTTGAATATATTTATATATGATATAATATGCACGACCACCTTGTATATTACGATATTTCACTTGGTATCCAGCAGTTGTCATTTTACCAAATTCTGTCGTAATGAAATAATTTAAATAAATAACAATTAAGGCCACAATTGTAATTTAGCAGGGCCACCCCCCACCTCTCCCCCTTGTCTTGTGACCCCAGCAAAGCCCCAAACTCCTACACATACACAAACATGCAGACATGGATTTGCCCTCCTGCTAGTCCTGTTTATGTACTTAAGGGTCCCCAGCATCACAGTTTACCCTGTGTGCACCCAGCCAGCAGACCTAATGAGTGTAGTGTTTATTTACCTCTGGCTGCTGGGAAAAGAGGGGGTGTGGTCGCTGTCCAATTGTGCGTCGTTAAAATGAAGTTGAGTTTGGGGAAACATGGTGAAGATCGCTGCGTGCAACTTCAGCCGAGAGCGAAACCACAATGTGTCACAGTTATTTAGAGGCAGTGAGACTGGACCTTTAATCTCTCATTCAGCTGCTGAATGCTTCTGCAGATGTGTGCGAGCGCTCCAGTTGTTTTAGAGCTGTCATTGTTTTGCACGCTGTTTTGAGTGTTAGCACAAGGCTTTGCTGTGTCTGGTGGAAAACCCATCGATCTGGACCGCTATGTGCTGTTGTGTGAGCGCCCATCAAATCAGAAACACTGAGCGTGTCCCACTTTTCTTTTCTCTCCTCCGTCTCCTGTCTCTGAGCAGATGCTACAACAAGACTAATGGCACTTTTCCTGGCGGCCCTCTGCCTCTAATGCACCGCGTGGCACCGTGCCAGCAGGACGGGTTAGAGATGGTACCGCTCGGACAGGTGTCAACGCCGTGTCGCGGCCCCAATGGCGAAATAACCCCCGGCGACCAGGAGGAGGACGTAGGGTACGAGGAAGACAAGCCAAGAGAGTCCTCGCCCTCACAGCATTCCTACTGTCTTGTCGGGACCATTGAAAACTGTCCAGGAGACAACAGTGGTAGGACTTTTGGAATTTCTTTTATCCTTGCGTTGTATTATCTATTGAGAAATCCGTCAAAAGAAGTTTCTAGAGAAATCACTACCATCAGAGCAGAGAAAAGACAAATGTAGAGAAATACACAAAAACAACTTGGGGGGAAATATTGACTGGGTACTTCATGAGAGTACTGCATTTACTTCCCATTTTGGAATTGATGATTAAGGCGGCCAGATATTCTCTGTCACCCCCTGCAACCAAAACCACATTTCTGAGCCTCGGTGTGGATGTCCATCTTACATGTACCGTCTAGGATGTTGTGGACACATTAAGAATGCTGAGTTGTCTTAAAATATTTGAATAGACTCATACAAATACTGAGAATTTGGGGAACAGCACAGGTGAATATAAATATATATATGTTTTTATTTATTTTTTAGATACGTTTATAAGATTATTGGCGTTTATTTCATTTAATTCACCGTAGCTGAATGGAGCTAAAATTACAAATTTAAACAGTTTAATTGAACAAATGCCATATTAACCTTTTTTTCAGTTCTGAGCAGTAAGCTAAGCTAAGCTAGGCTAATTAAGCTTATCACACACTAGAGTTCGAGATTCAGTCGACAGATGTGAGCAGTTCTTTGATGCAAACCTCAGGTAAATAGTTGGTCAGAGTCACTAAATGTTGTCTTTCAGACATAAGAGAGTGAAGTAAGAGCGAGTGAAAGCATTTATTCCCAAACCCTTGCGGTTGAGCACTATTTTGAATCAAACTCCCAGAGTTGTTTGCCTCACTAGCAAGTTTTTATATAATAACCAGTCCCTGTGTTATTTGCAGACAAACTATGCAGCGTCGCCACAAATTACACTGCGGGCATGAGCAGAATATGTACTGGTCTTTTTTTAATATGAAGTCTGAACCCAAGACTCTTTTGTGTGTGTGTGTGTGCGCAGCTGAGGAGGAGCTGGAGTGTGTGGACATGGAGAGGCCTGTTCTGTGCTGGGAGAGTCTGGGTCTGCCAGACTTGGACTGTGACGAAAAGCCTGGGTGGATCTCAAGCAGCAGCCTGGCAGGAGAGCTGATCCAGCCCTGCCCACAGGAGGTCTGAGCTCGGCCCACACACAAACACACGCTCTCCTGCAGCTTGGAGTGTTCAGAGAAAACCAGACAAAAAGACACACACACACACACAAATATATATATATTTCTGTGCAAGTATCACAGAGAAACTGAGACGAGAAAAGTCAGAGACACTGTGTGTGATGGTGACGAGGACAGAAAATGGGTTGATGGACCGAGCTGAGACGAGGGACGTGGGAAAAGTGATAGTCGACGTCAGACGGCGAGTGAAGCCAGATGGAGGGAAACACAAAGACACAAGGAAGTGTTGCTCAAAGACACAAACTCTCTCCCACTGGAGAAAAGACTCTCATTAAAGATTAAAACAAAACAAAACAAACTCTTTAGATGACTTATTTATTTTTTTGTAGTAGTAAAATATTATTTCATATGAATGTATCTGTTTTAAAGAAAAAAAAGTTTGTCTTTTATATTATTTATGCCTTTTGGATGAGAAATACTTTTTATTTTTTGTCGTTTGGACCCCGTGCTCCCCCCTACTCCCACTCCAGTGTGGAGATGAGCGACTGTCTGTGTAAAGTTTTGTAATAATATAAAGAGAAGATATGGAAGAGTAAACAACAGGGCCTTTTTTTTCTCCCAGCTTCTTCCTCCCTCCCCCACCTTTATGTGAATTTCCCAGCCTGTGTCAGAAGCGTCGATATTTGTGGAAGGTCTTTGATGTGGCGCTGCGATGGGCCGTTCCACCGCAGTGACCCTTGAACAGGGTGAACATTCCCCACGCTGCTCAGATTAAGCCTGCTGCGCTCTGCTTGGCTGAATACCTGATAGCTCATCACTTTACGCAAAACGCACTGCGGCTGCGAGAGGGCGGTTGACCTGCTGCCCCCAATCTGTTAGAGGAAAAGCAAAGTTACATTTGAATAACCACCTTTTGTGATACATTTGTTACCGGTTGCAATACAGTCTGTTTCACCAGAGATTTCGCCAGACGGAGGGCGTTTAATTAATATTCCGTCAAGTCATCACTGTGACCAAATATGGAGAGAATTTTTATACATTTTGGGCCTTATCACAAACCCCAAACCCTAGCTTGGAGGTGGGTTTTTTGGGTTTTCTCCGGCTCCTCAGAAGATCTAGGTTAACAGTTCACTTCAAATTGGCCATAGATATAAATGTAGGAGTTCGTGGTTGTTTTTCTCTCTGTATGTGGCCTTTTGTGAAAGACAACTTCCTGCAAACACTGGGATTTAACTAAGACTAAGAATAATGTGTGAATGTCAAAGCTTTTTCATTTTTCAACCACCAACTTACGTGCATTTGATTTTCAGGTGTTTACCTTGAATCTCATTCATGTGAATTTCTTAAATGACATCATTTATTACAGCTATGTACACTACAAAATTAAAATGTCCGGTAATGTGTGATAATGACACAGCACCGAAAAATCCAGACAAGGGTTAAGGTTTTCATCTTTGTATCTGACTGTAGGAATTCTCATAAACATCTTGCCTTACCTGGATCCTGAAGATTCAGTTTAAACATCCTTATACTGGTGTAAGAGACTAACAACTTTCAGTCCACATTAATTTTTCAACAGAGAACCACATCTGTCACAGTGAACTGTAGATGAAACTCTATCCTTACCACAGTATATCTGAAGAAGAAGAAATGTTCCTAAAGGGCCGGGCAGACGCTGTGATGTCACAGAGGCAGAGCTGCTCCGTGTGGTCGGAGCCGTCTGTTTAAATAATACCTCCTAATTTGAAGCAGGGATATTCACTGGAGTGTACTGGCTCAGAGGACTCACTGCAACAGTTGTGCTCTCATTAAAACTCAACCTGGACTTTGCCTCTGTTGTCAAACACACTGTTGTGGTGTGGACGACTCATTCATAAAACAGCTGTGATACACTTTCAGCTCACTTGGGCCAAACCCATTTTCTCACGGCTTAAGTCCTCGGTTGGGTTTTTAAAAATAAAAACTCTTGCGCTGCGCTGTCTGATTGGTACTGATAGGATTTGTGGCTGTGTTTTGGATGAAGCGGCGCAGGCTTCACATGCCTGGTGCCTGTCTGCCTGCGTTTGTGCCAGAGTGGGCTGCCAGTCCTCAGGCCCCGGCTCGCCTGGCATCTCCCTTCCCTCTGATGGTATATGGCCTATTCCTGGCACATGGATTTATCCGCCTGCTGCCGAGGTGTGGCATGACTTCTTCCGACTGTTATTTTTAGTCTCGATGGAGGCTGTTGTGCAGCTGAGGCTGCTGCCGTTTTCTTTTTCTTTTTTTCTTTCTTCCAGATGACTTGATTTAAATCCACTATTTTCCCAGAAACAGTTTGACTTAAATCCACTATTTTCCCAGAAACAGTTTCTCTTGTTCGTGACTTCCAAGATGCACTGATAAAACTTTCGAGTGGTGAATGGAAAACAAAACACGACCGGAATAAAAGGACAGAAGACCTTTGCATTTGTTTTAGCAGCACATCAGCCCATGGTTTGTGTAGTTGGAAAGCTTAAGAAACTGAACAATGGGAAGGAAGTGAGGCTGGAAATGAAAGGGAAAAATAGTCCAGGGAAGGAGGGGATGCTGACAGATGCAGACCGGACTGATGAGGAAAGGATAAGGCCGGGGTTGTCTCCAAATGAGCTGCTTCCCCATCTCCCACGTCTGTCAGTCGGCACTCTCCCTCTGCCTTACCCTGCACCCTTTACCCACGCAGACACACACCCTCATTAAGGAGCCCTTGGGAACAAGAAAGCTCATTGTCTGTCCTGGAATTTGTGTCCCTTGCTGCAGAGCCGACCTGTTAACGGCAGTCCCTCTCCCCTCCGCCCACCATTCTTCCTCTCTCCCCTCCGCAGCACACCCTGAATGAATGCAATTCTTATGAATCGGGCAGTGTGTTGTTAACTGGCCTGATTCGGCCTCGGAGCGGTTTTATCCTTCAGATGTCACTGACCCCTAAAAGAAGTGTGTTGTAGTTGGAGGAACTTCAGCAAGGTTCCACACGGTCCCTCTGGGTTCTGACCTTGTGTGTACTATAGCAGTAATAACCTAGATCCTCCCCCGGAGGAGATCCACAATTTATTAGTAATTACACTCAGGCCTTGGCGCGAGGGAAATGTTGCACAGCTGATGTGTTGGAATTACGTGATGCATCTGTTGACTGCACCTGTTTGATCTAAACTGGGGGGAAAAAAACAAAAATGCACTCGTCTTCTTCACAGCTGCAGCTTTTTATAACTGCAACATCACTGTGCACTCCAGAGAGTTCACAGTAACCATCACTGTTAGTACAATAGACGTTTATTTTATTTTATTTTTTACTGTAAAACAATTTGATCTCTGAACATTTTCTATACTCTAAATCCTCTAATGTGAACTTGTTTAACCTTCACTAAAATGAAAACATCCTGATTGGACATCTGTAAATTCTTTAGTATCAGCATGTTCTAATGAGAGCCTATTAAAAGCTTAGAAAATGCTGCAGTAGGAAGAGAGACCTCAGACCTGATCGTATCACAAATAATTGATGATGCAGTTCAATCTCTAAGGTCAGAATGAGATTCCTCTTCCATCTCCACCTCCCTGCTCGACGCCTGGAGGTTTGGTGCACATAATTACTCATCTTTGAAACTACAAAAAAAATAATAGGTTCGAGAAAAACAGCCCTGCAGCATGTTGCTGCCTCCACCACGGTTTCACAGTTTCTACAGTGTTTTTGTTCGACCTGGTATTTGTTTCACACTAAATTTAAGTCAGAATTGTTAAAAAAAAAGTTATTCAGACTAATGGTGAATAGTCAAATCTAATTACCAGTAACTGTTAGAACTTCCTGGATTTGAACTAGACTTTTGTCACCAGACTAGTTTTGCTCATTGCCATTTTCCATTTGTTTTTTTGGTGAGGTTCTTGATGGATATTTTTACCGAAATCCTTGGTATATTTCCTGCCTACGAAAGTTTCCTAACTTTTCTGTATTTATTTCCTCATTACAACAAGATTCCACGGACTGAACAGTTAAAAGCAAAACCAATCCTCCTAATCAACTGAACTAAATCTGTCGATAGTTGTTTTTCATGGGCGTCGTCTTTGTCTTAGTACTGGATTAATATCAAACAGATTTCTGGCTTTCAGGTATCTGCTCTGACAGGTTCTCATTTTCTTCAAAGTGACAACATGGGGCAGTTAACAGGCAGCAAACGGCACGTAAAAAGAAAGGGGGAAAAAACTTCACAGCACAGCAGTTATTGTTGGGATTATGAAGGGCTTATAAACATTATATTTTGGGGAAAATCAAAAAATGGTGTTCTCTAATGAAGCCTGCATCCAGATGGTTTTCATAATCAAGCCGAGACAAGCCTGCACAGTGAAGTGTTTGAAATAGAAACCGCAACCTCAGGTCTACGCAGTGTCACGCTTTGTAAGTTTATATGGCTACAAAGATGGAGGGAGACAAGAGTTCTGTCTGTCACTGATCAAAGTGTTTCAGTGTTTCCTACAGTACAGTTTAGTGTTGAAGGATCAGTTGATCCAAAATGAATCCAATTATTCTAAAATATACTTCGAATAATGTGCGGTTGTGGAAATAATCTGTTTACTAATTCAAGGTATCCGCCAGGATGAAAGATGAAAGTTTTTTCTTTTTTGCAGTGGACCAATAGGAGGATAATAAAATAAAGCATCATTATATTTTATTAGATGCCTCACGTTTAACAACCCAAAGCTAACAGTTTTTAATTGATTTTTTGACTGATTTTGATAATAATAATCAAGAAGTTATTACAGAACCAATCAAAAAGGGCATATAACCTAAAATAGTTTTGTTTATTAAACATTAAGGAAATGTGACATTTTAACAGGAAGTAATTCTTATATCAAGTCCCAAAATATGTATATTTAAGAAACACACAGAGCTAAATGTTAGGTGGCAAAAATAGCCAACGAAAACATATTATCATTGTTCTACTATCGCAAAGTGGCCCGACTTTGGTCCTGCCTGCTGTAGACCGAGACAATAGAGCTCTCATTTCTGAAAACCTATACTCAGGGGAAGATGTGGCTGCACATTTGTGCCGAGACAATGACTGTGTTTTTGAGAGGCGTTCAGACGAACCTGATTAAGACAATGGTCTGAGAAGGTGTCACATCAAGAGGAGTCTCTGAACCTTAACCTGAAAAACAATACTTAGCACGAGCAGAACTTGATTCAGAGGTTGTGTCGACACATGAACGTTTGAAACAGACTACAAACACAGGCTTGTGTATGTTTAGATCACATGACAACAGCCTATAAAGGAGGAACTTATTGTTTACATGTCTTTTAATCTAAATGTTTAATCACCCAGAAACAAATGAATACAATTACTGTATTACAACATACACTAATGAAGTTTAATAATGTGATAAGGTCGAATATCCACTTATATGAAATCATGTTAATCCAAAATGGCCGTCTTGCCTTTTTGTATGCTAGGTACTTTAGCGCTGGGCTCCTGTTGACTTAAGTAGCTGTACTCCTCTAATAAAGATTCAACAAACATAACTGGAATTTAAAACTCTTTATAAACTATTTAACTATTGCCACCTAACTATAACACTATTGTTTTTATGTCCGAAAAACAGGTTTTACTTTAAACAAAAAAGAAAATACGAACAGAGGGCAGCTAAGAGTTTGATGTTTCTGTGGCATCACTTACAGACCTAATGTGTGACTTTCCCACCTGAAAATATACCTAAGAGTTTGATGTTTTTGTGGCATCACTTACAGACCTAATGTGTTTGTATTTGATGCCTCATATGTCAGTCCTCAGTCTCCTCCACATCCAAACGTGTGTAATAGAAAATGACTTTGGGGCCGTCGTCGGTGTCGTACATCGCCTGACAGGTGTACGTGCCCACTGCGCTTTTCTGAAGATTCTCAATGACTAACTTAGAGGTGCTGACAGGAACCTGGATGTTACCCACATTGTTGGACTGCACTTGGAGCTTTACACCGTGTCCATAGTTATAGGCCAAAGCTACAATATTATCAGTCAGTGGTTTGGTGAATCCCCAGATGAAGGTGTGAGGCATGATGGGGCCGCAGTCGAAGGTGACCGAGCTTCCTGCTGTTGCTGTAACATGGGAGCGGACATATTCCACCTCCTCAGACTCAGGTATCAGCAGACCTGTAACACAACACTGCTGTAGTCAGCACATCAATAGTTTGCACATCAATGAAAACAGTATCTGCAGGCACTGAATTGACAGGTGATTATTAAGCGGCATCGTCAGAAACCTTTGACGAGAACTCGACATTCATTACGAATTGACTTTGCCAAACCTCGAATATAAGTATAAAATATGACTCTTAAAATGTGTTTGCCTGTAGCGTTTTTTTATGTCTTTTCGATTAAGGCCAAGTTGCTGAGCAATCACATAAAACGTTAGCTTCACAGACTTAATCAACAAAATCGACTTCAAAGCTTTTGAAGGAAAAGACAACAAACCATTACCTTTGAGAGGGAGAACCAGCCAACAGAGGAGAGCACAAAAACTGGGGTTCATCTTCAGGTTTTCCTGCAGTACCAAAGGCTCTGTCTTGTCCTGAGTCCACACCAGTGTCCTGAGTGACGAAGGCTACAGGACTGACACTGAGAAGATGACTGTAAATTATTCATGCAGTGTTCTCCAGCCACTCATGGATCAGTTTAAGACTAGAGCACGGGTGTGACTGTCAAAGTGATACCGGTGTAATTCAACCAATTCACATGTGAAATAAAAAAAACCTTCAAGGTCGCGTTTATCACTATAGAGACAGAGAGACATAATAATAGTAGTAATAATAATAATAATAATAATTAAACCTGTGGCACTTTGGACCAGAGACATTTGTGCGTCTCACTACCCAGGGCCATTGGTAAATGTTCAGACGTATGAGCAACAACAAAACAGACTGAGCAGTACAGCCCATAAACCTGCTCTCACTGGAGGCAACCCCAGACTGAGGAGAAGGCTCTAATTAGTAGGGACTTAGTGTTCTGCTCTTCTGGGGGGGTTAAGAGGAGGACTATATTTAGAATGCCTTTGGAAGACAGACAGATGTAATCAAGAATGTGATATAAAACAACATGGTTTCTGAGGTCAGCGTGGACTGGCAGATAAAGTCAAAGATGTGTCTGAGAAATGAGAAGAGAGAACAGAAAACGGACTTGACGGTCCACAGTCTGTGGAGAAGGAGACCACGCACCAGGTCTTTGTCTTGGTTCTGTTTCTGGAATTCCGTAATCCACTATGTTGGTGCATCATTCACTACATATTTGGTGTGTTTTTTTTTTTTTATGTTTTGTTTTGCTGTTGGTGAAGACTAGCTTGGCTCCACACCGAACGAACTGCTCTGAAGAAATCGTCTTTCCCAGTTCTGTTAATCTTCATATCAAACTTAATAATTTTGCGTGTGTCGACCTGGGTTAAACTCTAACCAAGGCCATTGACCTTATGTGGCCAGTTCCACTGTAGTTTTATTCTCTCCAGGTCCTTCAGACAAAGTCATATATTAACTGGATCCAACAGGACACAAATACAAATGTTGATTTTAAAACGGGCTAGCGACCCCAAGGTTGAACAACATTGCCCTAGCTTATTATGGCAGAGTACATTCTCTAAAGGTCACCAGTCAATCATAGGACCATTATTCGTTTAAGAGTATCCGGATAACACAACCTCTGATGTGTGTTTTAGACTGGGAGGAAACCATTGCACCTTGAAAAACTTTGGCTTGATTATTTGAGGAAATGTGGGATTAATATCTGATGGGCTTCAGAATAAAATGTTCCTCAGTATTAACTGAAGAACGGCCCAACACTTGGAACACTTGAAGTCCTGAGAATGATTCAGTATTATTGTGGCCTGTGTTTTTTTGTCAGCTGGACTCATAGCTGGTTCAACCCTTCACTAGTGACATCCTGTGTTAGCCCTGCAGTCCTGTCACATCTGCTGGCTGGCTGCCTGATCTGCAGGACAAGTTTACTGTAAACTGGAGTCACTGAAAAAAAAAAGGCCAGCCGTGGAGACTTGGAGATAAAGAGAAAGTTGTGTCTTATCTGGACCCTCTTAGCCCCGGTAAAAGCTTTCAGGTGCAGCACTCCATTGAGCAGATTTGTCCAAGCCAAGTTCAACTTTTCTTGGCATTGGATAAAAGAACAGAATCAGACCCAGAGGGCTGAGACTATATGGGGCTGTGTGTAACACATTACAGCCACCCCAACATGTGCCACCCTCCCAGACTGTGAGATCCTGGCAGCGCCAAGTTTAATGTGTGAGAGCAGAGCCGACAAAACAGGTGGGTTCCTGGAGCGTGCCCTGTGATTAGATCAGTCATTACCACTGGCATTGTTTAAAGCAGAGCTAACCTCTGATTTCTGAGGTCCACTTCCACTGGAATGTATTCCTGAAGCAGAACATTAGATGATTCCAGTCAGAATAATAGTCTGCGATGGTTTCCACTAATCATCTGATGACGACTCTCTGATTCTCCTCTCTGAGTGCGGGTCTCACACGGCCACCGTGTTTGCTTTGTTAGTCAGGTACTAACAAAGTTCACTTCCTGTCATATGTTTAGCTGTCCTGCGTACCCTGCAGTGCTCAGACTAGAGTCCCATAGGTCTCGTGCTGGCTGCAGCTGTGAGTTTTTCCTTCTCCTCCTCCTACTCTCTGCTGTTTCTTGGGTTGACAGGGACCACACATTAAGGAGGCAGAGCAGGGCTGTTGTATTACTCTGGGAGACAGGCGAACATATATTAGACCGCTTACCGTATATTTCGTCATTTATCTGCCAGGCAGCCGGAGTGGAGGTAAGCAAGACTGTGCAGAGACTTGTGCTCGTAAAAGGACCCTCCCCCCTCACCCCCCTCCTGCACCCTGACGACCTCAGTTTCCCTCCTGACTCACCTCTCATCTCATAGACCTCACTGTGCTCCCCTGCTCTGCCCAGGAAGTCCTGAGAATGATTCAGTATTATTGTGGCCTGTGTTTTTTTGTCAGCTGGACTCATAGCTGGTTCAACCCTTCACTAGTGACATCCTGTATTAGCCCTGCAGTCCTGTCACATCTGCTGGCTGGCTGCCTGATCTGCAGGACAAGTTTACTGTAAACTGGAGTCACTGAAAAAAAAAAGGCCAGCCGTGGAGACTTGGAGATAAAGAGAAAGTTGTGTCTTATCTGGACCCTCTTAGCCCCGGTAAAAGCTTTCAGGTGCAGCACTCCATTGAGCAGATTTGTCCAAGCCAAGTTCAACTTTTCTTGGCATTGGATAAAAGAACAGAATCAGACCCAGAGGGCTGAGACTATATGGGGCTGTGTGTAACACATTACAGCCACCCCAACATGTGCCACCCTCCCAGACTGTGAGATCCTGGCAGCGCCAAGTTTAATGTGTGAGAGCAGAGCCGACAAAACAGGTGGGTTCCTGGAGCGTGCCCTGTGATTAGATCAGTCATTACCACTGGCATTGTTTAAAGCAGAGCTAACCTCTGATTTCTGAGGTCCACTTCCACTGGAATGTATTCCTGAAGCAGAACATTAGATGATTCCAGTCAGAATAATAGTCTGCGATGGTTTCCACTAATCATCTGATGACGACTCTCTGATTCTCCTCTCTGAGTGCGGGTCTCACACGGCCACCGTGTTTGCTTTGTTAGTCAGGTACTAACAAAGTTCACTTCCTGTCATATGTTTAGCTGTCCTGCGTACCCTGCAGTGCTCAGACTAGAGTCCCATAGGTCTCGTGCTGGCTGCAGCTGTGAGTTTTTCCTTCTCCTCCTCCTACTCTCTGCTGTTTCTTGGGTTGACAGGGACCACACATTAAGGAGGCAGAGCAGGGCTGTTGTATTACTCTGGGAGACAGGCGAACATATATTAGACCGCTTACCGTATATTTCGTCATTTATCTGCCAGGCAGCCGGAGTGGAGGTAAGCAAGACTGTGCAGAGACTTGTGCTCGTAAAAGGACCCTCCCCCCTCACCCCCCTCCTGCACCCTGACGACCTCAGTTTCCCTCCTGACTCACCTCTCATCTCATAGACCTCACTGTGCTCCCCTGCTCTGCACAGTGCTCCCTATTGGGCCTCCTCTAGAGCACAGCCACAGATGACTGGCCTTGGGACAAGGGCAGCAGGAAGGGGGCCTCTTTCTCCCCTAATATTCCTAAACCCCTGGAGGAGTACACAGTACACAAAATATTGTTTTACAGAGAAGCTGAGAGAGAGACGTCTGGCAGGGCAACACTGCTGGTTTTTTAAAGCTATTTTTGCTGCAGTAATCACATTTCTTGCAAGTAATAAAATAGGTCAGAGGTGCAAGCGGGGTCACACAATGGAAGAGTGGTTAGTGTGCTTGCCTTACAGCCAGAAAAACACTGGTTTGATCCCTGGTGATACCTTAGGTTCTTTCGTTATGGAGTTTCCTCACACAGTACGGAGCATGCAGCATCAGGGTGAGATGGACTTTAGTTGGTGTAAATGGTTGTTGTTTGTCTCTGTATGTTGCTCTGGGGTAGACTCCAGAATGTTCTTCACCAAGGCTAAATGATTGCTGGGATTGGCTCCACCTCCTAGAACCACGTTAAGCAGTTGGGTCTATAAATGTGAGTTAGCAATAACAGCCTACAGAAACATCAGGGTGGTAGTCTGACTTACGCTTGGGAGCCATAATGAAGGGCAGAAATGTAGAAATGTTGAATAAGTCAAATATTATTTATATATATATACTATAGTCAAAATAAATGCCAGTTTGAGTGAAACATTTAAATCTGGAATAAAACTTATAACTTATATAACATATATATATATATATATATATATATATATTACAGACAGCTAACTCCAGTGTTCAGTTCGGTTAATGCCTCATTGGAGCTGTTTAGTTGAGAATGTGCCAAAGCTGCCATTAGCACCTCAGTGTGGAGCAAGCAAGTGCAATAAGACCCCTCAGACGGTTGGCCCACTTTCAAACAGACTCTGATACTGATCTGCTGAAACAATGTTCACATTACACAACATTTAACTTAACCCAGGATATATAAGATATAAGACACAAAGTGACAGATTTCTTCAGGAATTGGAACACACACACACACACACACACACACACA